AGAAAATCTGGGTAATATAGATAAGCAAAACAAAAAAGAAGAATCAGAAAGTTGGATACATGGATCCCATCTGTAACACTTAATGAAAAATAGGGCAGCAGTAATCTGTGATATTCTTAATAGAATATAGTAATGGCTATTAAATCATTCAAATCTGAATCTCTTTTTACTAAATGAGTCAAACTGTACTATCCAATTACCATCAGCTGCTGCCTTTCTGGAGAACAGAAGATGGTTCTTTTGATTGAGTTTTTAGCATTTCTTGCACACCTTGAGGAAAAAGGTCTAGGAGAGCAAGGTGCAAGTTAGAAATCCGTGAGCAAAATCTTGAGTTTAAGTAGCAGGTTCACCAGAAACCGGAGATGTTGACAGGTCACTCGCATATACCAGTTTAAATTGAAAACACAGTTATTCTTTTTTAATATTTGTTGTCTCAGAAACTTATTTTGGAAGGAAAAGGGGACTGAATTTATCCAGGTAACCCAGTACTAAGGATTTATAGGAAATCTTTGAAAATTAGTGCACTGGTAAATGCAGAATGGAAGGCACGGTTATACAGAGACCACAATAACGGTAAACTGTTGAATTTCTTAATGTCAGTGTTTCGTTTTTTGTTTGGTATATACCTTTCCTTTTTTCTTATTTTCTTTCTTGCTTTTAAAAGGCATTATATTTCTGTTATATCTCAAATTTTGGGAGCCCCTGCATTTTATTCTTAATACATTTGATCCTGTGATAGTAAGAAAGTATGAGGATTAAGGCAGGGAAACAGAGAAGTAGAGAAAGGCGTGGGTATAGTAAATCTCCAGCTATGAGTACACCAGTCTTTGCTTTACACGACCAAGTAGACATTTCTCTTCTGCTTAAATAACCAGGAGGTAAGTTTACCAGAAGGATAACTTACATAGGATGATTTAGAACAGGTAGAACATCCAATGCTTTTCCCTCCTATATTTCAGTGTGCTTTATATAAACTGTAAAGAATTCTGAAAATACCGGATGCGATTGTTACTACCTTTACTTGTTGACTTTGCAAGGAAAGGATGGGACCAATAATGAATTAAATCTGTACTTATAATGTACAAATGTCCTTCCGTCACTTTTTTTATGAAATACCTTAACTAAATTGCATTGTTTATATTGTGGAATTTCATTTCTCTGTCCTTTGGATAGAAAGTAAATGGAAACTGATGGGGCTGCTTTTGCACGTGTCTGTTGTTGTTATGTGCTGTCAAGTTGGAGCGGACTCAGAGCTGACCCTCCTGCGGGTGTTCAGAGCCTGTAAGTTGCATGGGAGGAGACTGCCCATCTTTCTCCTGAGGAGCAGCCAGTTCCACTCCCCTGCCTTTGGGGTGGCAGGGCAGCTTCTTGCCACTAGGCCACCAGAGCTCCAGTTGCATGTGTATATATATATATATATATATATGTGTGTGTGTGTGTGTGTGTGTGTGTGTGTGTGTGTGTATAATCTTCAAGATATTCTTGGCAGAGAAAAATAAAATCACTTTTGATGTCATCCTAATTGATATGATTGTGTTTATGTTGTGGTAACCCGCAGCCATTACTGCCTCACAAACCCCACTCTATGTATACATGCTGGTTTGACCATGATACACAGTCTGTTTTGACCATGGTCCAAGGTAAAGGGAGCTCTTGGAGCATAGTCAGTAGGTAATTGTGCTGCTGACCCAGAGGTGAGGACATCTCTCTGTCAGTTTGAACGCACGAGCCGCACCTTAAGAGAAAGATGGGTGGTCTCCTCCCATGTGATTTATAGCCTCCAAAAACCCACTGAAGGGTCAGCTGTGAGTTGTTTCAGACTGGACATCAGTCTTCCTCTATCATCATCTTGTTATGTACGGTCAAGTCAAAACCGACTTATGGCTGACCCTCCCAATGGGTTTTCAGAGGCAGAAATTCACACGCAAGGAGAATGCCCATCTTCCTTCCATGGAGCGGCTGGTGGGCTCAAAACCCATGCCTTTGGGCACATTTGGAAGCACAGTTCCTTACCACTAGGCCACCAGAGCTCCTCTCACCGCCCTCCACCACCATACTTTTAAGAATTCTAGAACAAAAGCCTGTGGGCTCACACCTATAGCGCATATCTTGACTCTTATGAATGCACATACTAGGTAAAGATGAATTAGAACCTATGGTTACCATTAATGGTGTTTAAATAAAGCTTTGTAACACTGAAGAAAATAGAAAAATTTTAAATGTAGTAAGCATTTCTGATGATGAACTTGCTGAACCAGTTCTCTTTAGATAAATTGTGTTTCTTAAATGTCTACGTTTTGAAAATTTTTGGTGACTTTAGGATTTAAAAAGAAAGAAGAGATGAAACACCCTTGATCTTATATAATCCCTAAAGCTTTTTGTATAGCCCCTTGTCATGTCAGTTTGCACAATTAAACTCCCTCTTACATAATTATAATCAAGGAATTTACCGTGCCACCCAAATACAGAGTAGGTTTTTCTCTCTTGTGAAATGTAGGCAGTGCTGGGTGGCTTAATTAGTGCTTTGCTTCTCTTTTTACAAATTCCAATCCTCTGCTTCTAAAGACTCATACTTGTGTGAGAAGAAAGATTAGGAATACAAATAGAGTGATTTTACTCTTAGTTAGCTAATAATAATTCACTTTGTAATTGAGCCTTTGTGGTGCCAGCCATATCAAGTGGTGAACTATTTACATGTGCATGTTTTCTGTGAATGAAGGGAAATAGCTTTGGACTGTAGACTTGTTACACCCAGGTATGAATATGCCTCTCATTCCTTAGACATAGATGGTCCTTAGTAGCTTTTACAATCATTGCAATTATGAGATATGACAATATAACTTGATAACAAACCAGGTTAAATTGCAGTCTCTTATTTCCTCACCTTCATGATCAGGACTCCTGGGATTAGCTGGTATAAGCTATGGCATATTAGTTAAAATCATAAACCCAGGAACCAGACAGCTTGGGTTCAAATCCAGGCTGCCTGAATTCTCGTTTTCTCTTTACCAGTTACTAGCCCCTGTGATTCAGGGAAAAGTTAAACTTTCTGGGCCTGACAGTAATAGAAGTACCTACTTAATAAGGCTATTTTGAGATTAAATAATTAATTGATATCTGTATGTATTTGGAACAGCTGAATCTAAAGCACAGTATACACTATAAAAATAGGTTGTCAAGTTAATAGTTTTATTATCTTTGTAAGTTGAAACAAATGAATCTTTACATTGTAAATTTCAGAAACCATTCAGTGAGGGGGGAAAAGCAACATCAAACTGTAATACAGAACTGTGGACATTACAGAGCAGTTGCTACTGCATTGAAATGTTTCACCATCATCTTGTTCCTAAGATATCAAAGAAACATTGAGGAATAATGAGTAGTAATTCTGGAACTGGTGAAAATGTGTTTGGAAAATGACAGGGAAGAATCTGTAAGATCAGAGAGTGATGAGAAATATATGGGAGACTGGAAGTACCAAGTAGAGAAAAGAGCACCCTCAACAAGAGGGATCGATTGATTTTTTTTTCCAGTTTAGATGGATATCTGAAATGGGAATATTAAGGCAAGATGCATGAAGTGGCTGGCTTACACACATTCATGAATATAGTTATTAGTAAGATGATTGTCAGGGGGTGGGGAATCACAAGATCCATGACCAGAATACAATGTAAATGATAGACAGTATCAAACACAATGTTCTCATCTTCTTGAGTTTGCAGCACTAAGGTGATTTGTCTCTATATTTTAATTATTAAAGAAACATACCCTGTGGAGCATGTATGAATGACAAAACACTTTGAAATATTGATACTATGTATAGACACAGTTATCTGTTCTATGTATATGGTTCAATATGCTAAGTATGTTGATATTCTTTATTTTTCCATTCAGAAATAAAATGTTGATTTATCACTGAAAAAAAACCCATCACAATATTCATGCATGAAACACCATGCATGTGAATGATTGTGTGAAAACCATGAAAATGCGTGATTTTAAAAAGCTGGGTTGACATAAGGACTGTTAACAATGAGCTCAAGCCTAGCAGGATCATGAGGACGGCTCAGGACAGGGTTCAGCCCTCTTGTCCATAGAGTTGTAGTCAACTCCTAACTACAAGGCTGTTGAGTCAGTGCTGAGTCATAAAACCATCCATCGGGCCCCCAAGGCCATAAATCTTTATGCGAGGAGATTGTCCTGTCTCCCTCGTGGGTTTGAGCTGTTGATGTTCAGCTGGCAGCACTTTATACCCTATGTTATGCCCTGTGCCACCCAGACTCCTTATAAGCTTTGATAATAGTTCAAACTTTCCAGAAAATGTAGCAAGTAGCAGGGAAAGTCTTTATCAATGAGAATAGCACTGAAAACCTTATGACTAGAAATAGTATAAAGCAAGAGGGAACACTGGCGGCATAGTCTGTGGGCAGTGACGCTGCCAACTCAAAGGTTCCCATCCACCAACGGCTCTGAGAAAGAGGGGCAGTCTCCTCCCATTGGTTTTACAGCCTCAGAAACCCACTCGCAGTAAGTGCATTTATTGCAGGCCCACTGTGTGTCATTGTAGACTCACCAGCAATGACTAGGCTAGACAAAGTAGAGAAGAGAAACAGAGGAAGAAGCTTCAGGAGAAGCTTTGGCACAGAAAGTGTGAAATGACCATTTTCCTGTGAGCCCGTTGCTTTTGGACTTTGGAAATACAAAATAAATCATGGTAATTAGGGAAAAGAAGGTTCCTCATTATTGATACCCCAATTATATTTAAAAGCTTAATAAAATGCACTTGCCCTGAGATAAAATCTGACTCCTGATTATCATTGGATTTTCAATTCTAAAAAATGCTTTAATTGATACAAGTTCATAAATAATGTGAAATAACCAGAGAGCATATGTATTACTGCATATTTATAGTCATTGATGTATGCAGTTAGAGTTAACTCAGCTGGCTATTAAAGATGCAGTTGGTTTCAACTCTTCTGTTCACGTGTTTTCCTTGACAGATGAAGGACTGAACCATGAGTGCAAACTCTGCAGCCAAACCTTTGACTCCCCCGCCAAACTCCAGTGCCACCTGATAGAGCACAGCTTCGAAGGGATGGGAGGCACCTTCAAGTGTCCAGTCTGCTTCACAGGTAGGACAGTGATCTCAGGGAGACTGGGAGAGTTGGATGGCACATCACATCTTTCCGAGCAGGACGTGCATCCCACTGCTATGGCCTTTTACAGCAAGGATCTTAGTTCAATTTGGGGGGAGATGTTTGATTTCTGCTCATTAGCATTATTGATTGCAGCCTACTTAAAGACTCAAATGGGCAGGAAGGTTAACTGTCAAGATGAACAAATGGCATTTCAGATCCTCTCAGAAGTTTGCACTTTTCCATTTGGAAAACGACATCGTGTTCTGTTCACTTTTTCCCCTTCTTCTCGATGTTAAAAGGTTAGCGGGGCTAAGGCTGCCTGCACAGAGCTGCTTTTTAATCACAAGATGTTCAACAAGACGTGCAGCCGTGTAAGCATGTGTCTGTTAGTCAAGCATAACTTTTCCCCACAAAAATGAAAAAGATGATTGTTGAAACCTTTCTAACATTTATTGAACTGCAAAGTAGATGAGGCATTTATTTCTATGAAATTAGGGGTTTTTTTAGTTGAAGTTGATAAAAATTCTCATCTTTTTAAAAAGTGACTTTTTGTAAAATTTTAGAGCATTAACATTTCAGGAGAGGGGAAAAATAAAGTAAACCAGAAACTGTAATTTGAAGCCCAAGGGGTTGCCATACGATCACACAAGCTAGGTGCTCCCTCAACAATGGCATATACTTGGGAAAATCCTCTGTGATTATTTTGCTTTAGACTTAGTAGACAAGGCCCCTCAAGGCTATTTTTCCTTCTTATTTATTCGAAACAAAAAAAAATTTCATACACACACACACACTTATCTTCTTTCAAAATTGACTTGTGTTCGCAGAGCAGAATTCCAGGCATTGATTATTAACTTGCACTGCATCCAGCTTATAGATTGCTGTTCCGTGGTAAAATAAAACGAGAGAGGTCATGGTCATTGCACAATTAGCAGAAGGAGCAATGCCTGAGTGTGTTGGTGGCAGTTGCTCTCTGCATCAGCATTTGCCTGTTAAAGTCCTTTTAGTAATTCCATGAGACACTTCATTTTCCTTCTGGAACTATCTTCCAGTCCTCTAAGTTTATATGTAAGGAAAATATGTTGTTTTTATAATCTGTATCTCAAGATAAATGGAGTCTAGAGTTTGGAGTTTTCCATAAGAGCTCACAGCAGAGCTTACAAGAGTCTTCACCAGGGAGCCCGAGGTCATAGGTTGCCTCATGACCAAAATCTGGAATAAAACAATATAATAAAAACATTGTTTCTTGTAACCAGCTGCCTCCTAAAATGGTCTAAGGTATATGGATATTGACTACAAATCTATATAAAACCATCCCCATTTCTTTTTGTTGACATTACTAACAGGGTGAAAATGCATTCGTAATAAACACTCTGCATTTTTTGTGTGGACAGACCTGAATTGTCTTAATGTGGCTTGAAGTAATTTTAGAAATAACAGTTTAAAGGTGAAAGGGTGGGGGGAACCCAACCTTCCAATATAAATCATGTTCTCTGGAAGAGGAAATTTGAGCGATTTTTTAAGGTAATGAGAAATGTGATTAAAATGTATGACTCATAAGAACGATATTCTAATATTGTAGGTTAGCTGGCAATTAGAATAATTTTAATGATTAGAATGGAGTCAAAGTCAAATGCCAACATCTTTAATAAATCCTTTCCCTGCCTATACAGATTAATATTGTAGATGCAAACTTTTTTAGGTCACAGTGCACCAGGCTTCCATCAGAAGTCAGGTCTGCCAGCCCAAACACTGCCTCTGGCATATACAATTTAATTATTAATAGTATGTCTCCTAGGTAAACTGTTACACAGTCTTAGGGCCTTGTTTTGTAGTCATTAAAATTGAACATGTTTATATTATTGAAACCCTTGCATTCAGTGTGTAGGCTGAGTTGATCTTAAAGTATCCAAAGAGAATTTACCTGCCGTTCTGTTTCACATTTATAGACAGTGCCTCAGAGTAGCTGTGGGATATAATTTTTAGCATTAACACATTTAAATAGAGAACTGTTCGCTCGCTGTAACTTTAGGCAAATACAATAAACAGGGTTTTGGCATCTATGATTTCTTAACCTGTGGGTTGCTGAGAAATAAGAGTCATTGCTGTTCAGACAGCGCTGCACATTTGACAATTTTCAGCTTTATTTTTTAAAAGATTTAGAGGGAGCAGGGCCTCTGTAAACCTTTACTTTGGAGCTGTTTGTATTGAATTAGGGGCTCGGTAGAGTGCATCTTAACAAAAGCCAGAGACTCTACCACAAGCAAATGTGGACCGAGCTCTCCCTGGGTCTCTGGCAACAGTCACACCCCAGAGGCGTGCCATTCTGCCCGCACTCTCTGTTCATGGGGAGTCATTGACTGAGGGCATTTCTGAAACAAAATAACCCAGAGTTCCCCATTCTTTTATCATTCCAGTATTTGTTCAAGCAAACAAGTTGCAGCAGCATATTTTCTCTGCCCATGGACAAGAAGACAAGATCTATGACTGTACACAATGCCCACAGAAGTTTTTCTTCCAAACAGAGCTGCAGGTAATGGCCCCAGGAGGACTGGGATTGAACGCGGTTGCTATCCTTACAGGAAACAAAGGCATTTTAAATCTGGATTCCTGGTATCACTCACTCTGGGCCACCATGATTCTTTGTGCGTATTGGGGCAAAGGGAGAATTAGAGGCTGGATTAACAGACTCCAAAGTCATTTTGCCTCTGGCTGCTGTCAATCATAAAAAGAAGTGGAACAGACCCGGTAATTGGACCTTCTGACCCAGAGTGATAGACTTAGGGGTCAGGTTTATTGGACTGTGGAATCAGACACCTCACTTGCCATAACCCATCCTCCCAGATCCTGTTTTATTCATGCTCCTTTCCCGCTGGGCTCCAAGCTAGATGCATGTCTAGATTATTGTTGTCCTGAGGGGCTTAACATTGGAAGGGTGAAAGGAAGAGGAGAAAGAAGCTATGCTCTTGTCCAGTATGTGTGTCTCCCACCCAACAGAATAATTATAACTTAGCAACGACCTTACTATTGAAAATATTTGGCATCCAAAGACTTTAGTCTTAATGCCCTACTTGTTAGATAGATGTGTGACCTTGGAGTGGCCCATACCAATTCTGAACCTTGAATGTGAAGACGACTTAAAATGGACAGGGTTGTTAGAAGAAAATTAAATAATGGGTATAAATATAAGTTTAGTTTGGTTATTATGACTGATCTTAGCAAAAGGCTAGAGACTTTCATTCTGCTTAAAAAAATATCATCTACTGAAAATGAAAATTTACTTTCTTCGCTCTCTTCTCTTCTCTTCTCTCTCTCATTTCTCCTTGAAAATTGAGTACGATCATTTACACTTTATTTTCTAATGGAGTTATTTAAATGATGCTGGTATCCTTACTGAAGATGAGATAGAAGCACAGTTTCAAACGGGCTCAAACAATTCATTTATGGCCTGCGATGCAGAATCAAAACAGACCTGTGTTGTTTTTATTTAGGTAAATGAAATAATAACCCAAACAGGAACGGGACACTCTGAGGAGCGTAGTAAGCCCCTTGAGCAGTGTGGTGTGGGGTATGTGATGATTGCAAGAACTGTGGGGGCGTACAGGTCCCCAGTGTCATGGTTGGCTCCCACCTTTGAGCAGGGCACCATTTGCTCCTAATCCACCTGTCAAGATACTGGCGGTTTTGTACTGTGCACACTGCATTTCTTTTATAAGAGGGAAATTAAGTTTCTCGTGGGCATCAGCTCCACTTTCACCAGTCCAGTTACTGTTTTTGTCACACACATTTTACAAACCCAACTTCCTTCCAGTTTTGCTTCCTTGACTAGGAGTAAGCCACAAAGACCAGTTTGAAGCCCTGATTGGGACTCAGGACTTATTTTGGTGATGCTGATGATTAACAACAAAGTTATTAAATGTAAACTAGCAATTTTCCCCCTCTGGTGGCCTGGTGGTAAGAGGCTGCAATGCAATCCCAAAGGCACGCAGTTTGAATACACAAGTTACTCCACAGGAGAAGGATGGGCTATCTCCTCCCATGCTTTTAATTGCCTCGGAAAGCCCACTGTAGAGTCATCTGTGGGTGGATTCTGTCTTACAGCACACGACAACAATTCCTCTTTACATTGAACCTTCTAAACAACTAAATGGCTTTGAGGGCTCAGATCTCCACTCACCACTGGGGTCTCTCGCCAATGCTATGGGCTTTGTGTCAGCTTTGTATCTCTTGGGCTCTGAGAAGCTAGAGTTCCATTAATTATATATCTTGTAGAGAATTTGAAGCTTACGTTAGTCCCATTCTTTAAATGAAAAAGTGGCATGTTAAAATATATTTTATAGTTATGTCAACAGATAAAAACTAAAGTTTCTTATTTTTCATCACTGCTCAGATGTTGTCTTTGTCACATGTGAACAGTTAAGGTGGTACACCTAGTGATTCTGTTAACTACCACATAAACTGCCAGAGAGTTTAATAAAATTATTCTGCTTAGCTCTCCCTAAGCAAAATGAAATAATAGTTTAAAATCAAAGTGTAGAGATTCTTAACAACTGAGTGCTATTTAACTTTCTTGAGAAAATTGTTCTCCAGAATGATTTTGTGTAGTTCACTGTTACTGTCATGTGCCATCAAGTCAAAACCAACACTCTCTGACAGTAGATTCTCACAGGCTGTAAATTGCACAGGAGGAGATTGCCCATCTGTCTACCACGGAGCAGCTCGTGGATTCCAACTACATGCCTTTGGATTGACAGTGCAGCTCCTTACCACAAGGCCATCAGAGCTCCCTGTGGATTGCATTGTTGTTGTTAAGTGCTGTTCATGTCAAGCATGCCTCATAGCAACCCTATGAATAATAGATCTGGATTCTCTCCTCTCTTGCACCACCCTCATCATGTTTAAATTAGCTACCACAGACACTGTATCTCATCTGGGGCTTTCTTCTTCTTTGCTGACCCTCGCCTGTCCAAACATGACGTCCCTTTCCAAGGAACAGTCTTTCCAAACAACATGTCCAAAATATATGAGATGAAGCATTACCATCTTTTCATCTAAGAGGCACTCAGGTTGCACTTTCTCCAAGTAAATGTACTCCAGTAAACTCTTGGTGTGTACTGCATTAGTCGATTCTGATTCAACTCAACTGATTATATGATCAGTGTTTTTCAATTAAAAATGTCAGCAGGCAGTACCTGTGTTCCCATTGTAGGACAGGCAGAAGCAAGAAATTTCACATAGCCTCTAGGACTCCAGGGTCCTATTTACATTCATTTAAAAGTTTCACAGAATGTATGCTATTCACTTTTTCTATAATTAGTACAGACCAGGTTCTCAAACTAATTTCTATAAACCTTTTCCTTCTTGAAAACTGTTGAAGACTGCAAAGGATTTTGGTTTATGTGATCATTTTCCATCAGTACAGTATTTTCTATAGTGTTGTTGTGTGCCATCGAATCAGACCCAACCCATAGCTGACTCTGTAGGGGGTGTTCAGAGGCAGTTAATCACACGAGAGGAGATTCCCATCCTTCTCCTGCGGAGAAGCTAGAGAATTCAGTTCACTGGCCTTTGGGATTGAAGTGTCACTAGGCTTGAAAGGAAAAATTAAATTAAATATAAAGAATATATACAAGCATACATTCCAGTAACTGTGGAAAAAGTCAATGCACGTCATACGGTTTGGGGAAAACTCCACTGTAAGGTAATAAGAGTAAAAAGGGCAACAGTTTCATGAGTTCGTTTGCACAGACCCCCTTTAACAAAACTGAGGTGTCTGGGGCACAGTTTTAGAAACAATAGCAAAGGATTCAGAGGACAGAGCACACAGCTCTTTCCAAGTGTTTATAACCTTATGAAGTAAAACAATTAACTATGGTCTCTCTTTTAATGGCACACAAATGACTTAATGGCCATAACTAGACCAGAAGTACTAAATGCCAGTCCGAAGACTTACATGCTGTGTGATTCTTAGCAAATATGATTGTTTTCTTTGGGTAGAATTGTTCCCCATGTTTATGAGGAATTCTGAGCTCCTTAAAAAACCCACTACCAAGCTGGTAGGGAATAAGTGTCCCATTATTTGAACAAAATGAGTATTACTTTAAAAACAAACGAATGTGTTGAATGTTTCACATGTTTTCTTGATAGACCTCACTTTTTTCCCCCACAGAACTTAAGGAAACTGCTTTGAGAGAAGGCTGCTGTAGGCCAAGAATAATATCCTACAATGCATGTTTGTATCCAGAGTGGTTTATACAGGTGTGGGCAAGTGGTGTGTTTGTAAAAATCTTGTTGAATAGGCCACTTTTTTTTTTTAAATCTACTAATTGCAATTTAATTGGTATCTCTAGAAAAGTTACAAGTCAGTGGCAATGATTGACTCATTCTTTCCCAGTTAGGTTATGTCAGCACCATGTTGTGAATTCAGTCATTGGAATTCCAACAGAGAAATGAGGAGAAAGTGGCCTGGATGAACTTTAGGCTCTGCGATTCTGGTGTTTTGTTTCCTTTTTGACACAAAGGTTATTTTGCTACTTAGACCTTCCCTTTGTTCAATCATGAATGCAGTGCTTTCCCTCCAGATTTCACCTTCCAAATACAGGACTGACTTGGCATTTGAGGATATACCTAAACTTTCACATATCACTAAAATTTCAGTATGTAATTGTTTTTACTGACTCTAG